ATGGACTGAAGTAGTGTGGATCGCAGCTGCGGAGGCTTCTCAGGTATGGAACCCTGGTTTCACTCTCTCAGTGTTAACAGAGAGTTAGGGTTCCTCGCATCACAGCCTCAGGTTAAATAATAAGGTAACGGAAAAGGTTCAACTACGCAAACTAGGGTTGAGGAGTGGTGGTAAATGATAAATGGCCAATGCAGGAGTCCACAGATATCCACAACTGAAGAAAGTATAAACCCCCCCCTAGCAGCTTAAGCCTATGCAGGCAATACTTTAACAGTCCAGATGACAAGAGGGTGCAACTGCACTCAGAGATCAAATGCTGATGAAATCACTTACAGTGGATGCTGCTCTTTGATGTTTAAAAGTTTTTGTTTCCTCCCGAATACGCTGGTACGCTGAGCACTGGACCTAACCTTTTGTTTTAGAGTGTCTCCTTGCTCTAGCAGAGTGCTATGCAGTCACCCTTCGGTGTGCTAGTAAACTGTATGTGTCTCCACAAAAACACAGACACAGAAAATCAAGCGACTCCCCTCCCCCTGGTCCCCTCTCCTGCCTCCTCTCTTCTGCAAGCTAGTAGATGAACAGTTGCTGGAGTCTGCACTGTCCTTTGTGATTTTGCACTGGACAAGAAGTTCAGGGAAGCTGAGCTGAGAGATTTGGAAGCAGCTGTTCAGAACCATGATGATTGTAAGTGCTTGGACAAAAAAGTAAAGCAATGCTTTGCTCGGCAATGTATATTTGTTTGACCTGGATTCATTATTGAAAAAAAGTTTGAGAGTTTAATGCTACATTATGTATTGGGTTTGTCATGTTCACTGTAAGGTCATAATGCCAGTAAGCAGTTTTGAGGCCTCTGGCCCTTTTCTATGTTAAAATGTAACTTTATCTGGACCTTAATAGACTCAGTTGACATGTTACTTTGTCTAATTAATAAATTCCCACATGTGCAAGGACTTGGTAAAGATTTTCTGATTTGTATTTGTATACTCCAGTGTATTTGATCTTAAAATGGCCATACACTGTGCCAATTTCAGCAGGTTCTTGACGTAATGGCTGAAATTTGCTCAGTCGGTGGCCATGTTGGCAGCCGTCCATCCAGCATCCTTTGATCAGACAACTGGAGGAGCTGGTTGAAAAATGTTCATGAGAACAGTGTGCGGCAGACAATCAGTTGCCATCACTGCATGGGTATTCTGACAGTGGCACTTTTGCTGCTGTCAGAATACAATAGCCCAGTGGGAGATTCTAAGTTTGAACACAAAAATATAACAGTGTATGCCCAGTTTTAGTCACATGCATGAAATAGCAATAATAATTAAACTAAAGATAACGATTTCCAATGACATGTCCAAGTTCTGCTACCTGCTTTACAACTTCTGCAAAATGTGCTGCACAATGGTTGTCCTTTACCCATACAAGTCTATGAGTTGGCCTACCCAATGTATACAATGCACAGATATCTTATCTCAACAGTTGTTAAGCAGGAAAACTGAATTGTTTTAATGAAGTATAGATCTCCATATAGGGGCTAGATTACAAATCTCTACTTTTTATAAAACAACAGAAATATGCAATAGAGCAAGCTGCACAAATACCAAAAGTCACACTACAGTGAACACTAAGGGGGTTATTTACAAAGCTGCCGAAGACAGCCGAGTGAATAACCCAGCCGAAGTGAAGTGAGCCGAACAACGTTGACTTCAGCCGTACATTTGCTGAAATCAGCCGTACATCGGCTGCACCTCGGTCAGCCGAACATGCTCTGCTCTCCGCCCAGCTGTCTTTTGCGGGGCTTCGGGTGTCACTTCGGCTCAGTCGAGCTGAAGCATATGCCTTCGGCTCGGCTGAGCCACTCGGCCGAGCCGCTAGGCCGCCTTTGGCTGCTGTACGGGCTATAGTGAATAGCTTGAACAGGAGCCCTTCAGGTCGACTGCACCGAAGGGCTCCAGCGGCCCAAGAGAGCTGAAGGAACAGCCAAAGCTACAACATAAAAACTTCATCCATGGTGGGCATAGCTGAGAAGCTAAGCTCTTTCACTTCGGATCCATGCCACCGATCAGATGTTTTATATTTTATCATAAATAGATGTGACATTGAAAAAGTAAGCAGTCATAGAGAAGTGGAGTGAGACAATGATGGTCGCTTTATGGTTAGGACAGATAAGGTATAGACAGAAGATAAATACAAACAAGAAGAAGCCTGGGTAAAACAGAAAAAATGTGATATGTAAAATTTAAAAGGAATACAAAAATCAGAGAAAGAAGGTTTATAAATGGAAGAGCAATTCAAGTAAATTAAGAAAGCAATTGCAGAGCCAGCAGGCCAAATGTTGCAATTTAAAAGAAAGGCAGGAAGAAAGAACTGGGGTGATGAACAATGTCAGATGTTAATGGAGGATTGAAATGAAAAGAGAATGAAAATGTTGAATAATCATACAAGTGGATAGAAATATAGAAGTGTAAAAAGCTAAAATGTGCTCAAAAGAAAAAAAAAAAAAAAAAAGACATAACAGCAGGTTAGAAAATAAAAGAATTAGTAGAAACATGAGAGCAAAGGGATGTAAGAAAGTATTATAATAGGGTAAGTGAGAAAAAAAAGATGTTTTAACAACGCCACCAATGACAAACCTAGTTGGACATGAAGGCCAAATTAAAGGAGTGCAGAAGGAATTTTGTCAAGTATTGCCAAATGTAAACAGCACTAAAGTGTGAGAACACGAAATGATAAAAAATAAACTTAAAAGACAGGAGTATTAGGGGGAAAGGAAGAGGAAGAAAAGTCCATAGAGTATACTGTTCACTAGAAATGGTGGTAAATAGAGAAGAGAGATGGTGGAACATGAGAAAAAGAAACAATCCCAAAGAAATGGAAAAGGGTGATTATACATACAAAAAGGAATAATAGAAAATTAACAAATTACAGGGCTTAATGGATATTATTTATGTTTTACAAAAATACTAAATAAAAAGAGTAACAGGTTTATTCACTAAACTGTGAAGAGTTTGGAGAAGGCAGGAGAAGGGAACAATCTAGGACAACATAGCTGAACTGGAAAGTGAGCTGAATTGGAGAACTTTTCCAAATCACCTATTTTGGCCTGGATTGTTCACTTCTCCTGTCTTCTCCAAACTCTTCACCCTTTTGTGAATAACCCTGTAATTAATTATATACTTTAAAGTGAATAAGAAGTCCACTACAGTGAAGCCCTCAGTGTCCACCATGGGTTTATTCTATTTATACAGTATTTAAAATAATGCTGTATTCTGCCTGATGAAAAATCCTAATTTGATATGAAAAAAATAAGGCAAAATATAGGCATAAATAAGTTATGTTAATCAAATGCTTTTGGTTTTTAATGGAGTGAAGCAGGGTTAGATGTCCATTGGGTCTACTGCTGCCCATAACTAATCGAATACCACACTAGGTTTGCAGCACACTGCTGTGAGTGCTATTATAATGTACTACCTCTAAGTCAGCGGTTCTCAACCTGTGGGTCGCGACTCAAAAGTGGGTCGCAACTCACAGTTGAGGGGGTCGCAGTATCCACTTCTGCTGCGCTAGGTGAGAGGCTCCTCAGCCTCCTCCTAGTGCAGCAGTGTCAGTCAGCGGGAGGACAGCAGAGGCTGTGAATATAAAAGTGCCGCTATACACACTCCCTGAACGTTTCAGCGACATCTAGTGGCCGGGGAGTGTGTACAGCAGGGCTTTTCTATTCACAGCCGCTGCTGCCTTCCTGCCTCCCATACAATGTAAACTCTGCAGGAGGTGGGCATCTAAGCAGTGCTGGGGCTGAGAAGGCTGCATGGAGACAGAGCAGGCAAGCAGGTAGCAGGGGCTTGTATTCTTGTGAGTGTGCTTCTATTTTTACTCCCAGCACCTTACTTATTCTGGAGTCTAGCGACTTACTAATTCTGGAGTCCAGTGCTCCATTGGGGGTCACCACAACTTGGCAAATGTTACCAAGGGGTCCCGGCCCTGGAAACGTTGAGAACCACTGCTCTAAGTCGATTATCTCTGATAGTATATGGATAATGCACAGAGAGGGGCAGTAGGCAGTTCAGCTCACATAATAGCCTTAGCATTGATCATGGGACCCGAGGCAGGAGAAATCTTTATGGTGGAATTAAAAATATCAGTAAAGACCCATTGGGTGATCAGACCCTGCCTCACTGCATTCAAATTCTTTTTAAGGGTATTTTGTGTAGAATTTTACTTTACCTTAGTATTGCCTATAATTATGAGCTGCTAGTACACTCTTTTAAGGGAAGCATGTGCTAAGAGAAATGTGCATACTGCCATTTTTTACTTTATTCTAAAAGTACTACTTGCCAGGCTTCAATATTATCACTGACTCTGAAAAATGCTGCACATGAAGTAGAAACTTCTGACATGTACTGTTAATGTGTTTTGGTATAGTGTCCTAAAAAGTACTGAACCCATTGTTCAGAATGACAGCCAAGCAAATAATGTTTTCAGAATGAGAAGTCACAATAGAAGCTTGTATATTTCTCTCAGAAATATATACAGTATATATACACCCCGTAAAATATGAAGCCATTAATATGTCATCATCCACAAATCCTTTTTTGCAAAGATGTGTAATTATAGGGCATACACTTTGACTCTACTGCCACCATTTACTCAGATATTAAAGGTTAAGTGCTAATTTTTTCTCACAATTTATTTGTGGAACATTAATTTTCAGCAAATGTGTCTGCACAGTGCTCATTATTTCACAGGATGGTGGCAGATGTTATTAAGCTGAATCCAGTTCTGTATATATTTTTGCTTTTTCAATACACTTTTCATTATGTTGTCTTTATTTTTCATTTACAATTCTAGCATCTCTGTTCATATTATACTGGGCTAGAAATTAGAATCATCAACCGTTTACAACAGGCTAATATGGCAGGAATATCAGTAAATATACACTTTAAAATTTCAGGAAGCAGACAGGCAGGTTAGGCTTGAAAGATCCAAACAGAAATGAAAGAACCAGCATGTGTCAGATGCTCCAAGGAAAGTGCCAGGAAATAATAACTTGTTCCTGGTTTTGAACATTGACCAATTTTCAATTAAAAAATATTAATTATTATAATTTTCTTCGATTGTACTTAAAGTTTAAAAGCAAATATGTCAGCCATTTTAAACTGTAACTTCTGCCTATATGCAATTACCACAAAATTTCCAGATAATTAGTGCACTTTGCACAAAATAAGCATAAACCATCATTATATATCCCATTTCAATGTTTTTGTGCCATCTTACAGTTTACTGGTAGCCAGCGGAAGATCCTGCAGGATTTCTTCATACTGATCTTCCTGGAAAACGGGGGAAAAGGAAGGGTCTTTTTTCTTCTCTTCTGACATATCTTCAGCCTTGAATAACATGTCTTGTATACATTCTGTTGCAGCAATATCTAAAGATATATGTGCAATTAGTTTGAATCAAATATGCAAAAGATTAATGAGTAACACATTTGTACTTAAAAGAAAGAAGACTGCATTTAACAGTTCACAGGAGTGGCATTTGCAAAGCTCTGGGCTTTCCTTGGGTCAGAGAATGCTGTTAATAAATTATTTAAAGAAAACTAGTTACTAGGGATGAGCTCAGATCTGGACCAAACCCAGACCAAACCTGAGCTCCTTCAAACATGGAAGGAGCTCCTCTGAACACGGGGGATTCCCGGCCTGCAACTGCATGTAAGCAAAGGGAGGGGATGCAGTGATGTCATTGTCCTTATATGGCCACATGGCTATATTTGGCCAATGCCATATAGGGTCAATGGGGTCAGCACAAGCATCCTGCCCTTTGTTTATGTGCAGCTGCAGGGTGGGGAATGCCACAGCCCACTGCTGATTGTGGAGTGGCTCATGTATGTTTGGAGGGTTCGGCCTGAACCTGAGCTCTTCTACACTGTTAATATAATACATGACTTTTTAATATTTCTTGTATTTTGTCCCTGTCAGAGCAAAAGTACCAGGCTGAATTTTAGACAATAAAGCTCACACATAGAGCATACCCTGTCTCCTGCCTGAGCTCAGCACTGATAACAAACAGTCAAGAGATACCACATGATAAAGGTGCTGTCCATATTACATGAAAGAAAACTAAAAGCTTGGATAGTTGACAGTGTTATTGTCAGGCCAGCACCATAGGACTTCATCATATTTGTTGCCGTTACTATTTTCTTCTTTGAGCTCCACCTAGTGGCTAATCAATACTGCTTCAAATCCATCTACAGACTGTCTTGGCCCGCGTAAGGCTTCCCATCAACCATTATTCTTAGGGGGAGAAAACAGGTACATCCTGGGAAGCGAGACTCCATTTTCAGCACTCTGAAGGACAAACACATGGAACAACCCAGCCACTATCAATGAACACATGATAATGGCGGATAATCTATGTTCCCCTCAGACACCATCAGCAGCTGTTTCTCTCCACCCTGTTCTCTCAATAAAGATTCAAGATTTGTAATTTTGAAAATGATGGCAGCAACACTTCTCAAAAAAGTTGGGACTGGGCCATGTTTACTATGGTTTAGCATCCCCTCTTCTTTTAACAATACTCTGTAAATGTCTGGGAGACGTGTTGCTGCGGTTTTGGGAAAGGAATGTTGTCCCATTCTTGACTGATACAGGATAATAACAAGCCGGAAGGTTACTTTCCCTTTAGTCCAGAGAATGAGGCGTCCATGGTTGCTAAAAAGATTGTTGAATTTTGATTTGTCTGACCACAGAGCAGTTTTCCACTTTGCGACAGACCGTTTTAAACGAGCTTTGGCCCAGAGAAGACGGTGGCATTTCTGGATCATGTTCAGATATGGCTTATTCTTTGCATGATAGAGCTTTATCTTGTATTTTTGGATGGCACGACGAGCTGTTTTCCCAGACAGTGCTTTTTGGAAGTATGTCCATCACAGAATCATGACGATTTTTAATGCAGTGTCGTCTGAGGACCCGAAGATCACAGGAATCCAATATTGTGTTTCAGCCTTGTCCGTTAAGCACACAGATTTCTCCAGATTCTTGGAATTTTATGTTTTATGTTGAGGAGCATTATTTTGAAAATGTTCAACAATTTTAAGACGCAGCTTTTCACTGATTGGTGAACCTCTGCCCATCTTTATTTCTGAGACACTCTGACTCTCTAAGATGCTCTTTTTATACCCAATCATGTTACTGAACTGTTGCCAATTAACCTAAGTAGTTGCAAAATGTTCTCCCACCTCTTCCTTGTTAGTTACACTTACTTTGCCAGGTTTTTGTTGCCCTGTCCAAGCTTTTTTGAGACATGTTGCTGTCATCAATTTCAAAATTACCTTATTTTTTTTTAAATGGTACATTTTCTCAGTTTACACAAAGAGTCCCAACTTTTTTGTAATTGGGGTTGTACATTAGATTACCCCTGATGCAGCACAATCCAGTCTGGCAAAATGAGACACTGTTTAACCCTGTCCGTTTACACACTACTGCCCAAAGGCTTGCATTGGGCATCCAATCAGGTCCGCCTGTCAGTTTTTCGCTCCGTATTGCTTTGATCAGGAGGGGATCCATGCATGGATCCTCTTCTGATCAGCCCATGTGAAAGGGGCCCTAGAGATGCATTGTTGTCCATTTTTCATCTGCTAACAGAGGGTTGGAAACCTGGCAACCTAAACTCTCGTGTGAAGGGGGCCTTACAGCCTAGAGTGACATTTCTCTTCCCATGAAAGTCAAAATCAGAAGGGGCATTAGTGATATGAATAACTCTCTTGGCCTTAAGGGATAAAGTAACAAATTGCCATGCACTGTAACTCTCCTATTAATGGTAAGGCATTAAAAGTGTGTTTACTGGGCAAAGGAACATCAGACAAAAACTTTTGGAATGTTTGGAGTTTAAGTGATACCCTTCATTGGTTAACTCAAGGTATTAAAAAAAAATTTTGGAACTTGTATGGTCCTTTCTTCAGGGATTTTACATTACTTGTAAGGAATGTAAAAGGTCCCAAACGGTTGCCTTTTTATTTAAATTAGCCAATAGATATCACTTAAACACCAAACTTTCTGCATTATTCGATGGCTAACATTTTAAAAATCTCTATTACCACTAAACTTTTGGGAAACAGATTCCCATGTACCTCAGAATTTGGAATAATGCAATGATGCATGCATGGTCAGCTTTAATCCTGGAATGCTACAGGAAAATGGGGTCATTGCCACGGCAGCCAGAAATGGCACAGTAATGTTCTGTTTTTTTCTGGTCAATATGCTTACATACTTTAACAAAGTTAAAATTAATTCTATAGCTGTGCACATCACATTACCATAATGATCTGTGTGCATGAACTAATAACAACTGTTAATCCATGTATGTGGAATGCATGTCTAGTTTGTAACTTTATAGGAAATTAACATTTGCATCAGAAGATTCTAAGGCATCACCAGCCACAATAAGCCTGCTAAGCTTTATTAAAGTAAAAGGGAAAAAAAAGTGCTATCTAGGGGTTGTAGAGTTCCAACATAGAGACAGAATTAACACGATAAAAATAGGGTGATAATCACAAACAGTAAACATGGAAAGCACAGGAAAGCTTGGGGAATGAAATGTGGGTATTGCATTTCTATACACACTTCCCATAATATAAGTTATTAAAAAACACATCCCTCTAATAATTGAGGTACAGATCAAAGATGACTGACATACCTGAAGGCTTATCCCCACTGCAGTTGATAATATTTGGGTTTGCTTGATGGACCAAAAGAGTTTTTACAAGGTTTGTCTGTTAAAATAGAAATGTATGTACATGTAATGTAAAACAACACTAGCAGGGTAATAAATCACAAACTTTAGAAGAGATGACCAACACACCACTCTCCCTATGTCTTCAAACTACTCAAGTCTCCAGCTCTACCATGTTCTATTAACATGCATAATGTGAAACAAGAGATTGTTTATTTAAAAACACATTTTTTTTTAATTTTTAAAGCTGTGTGATTGTCTCAGTAACATCTAAAATCTGTGTTTACACGTCCCCATGCAAAGATTTACCCACACCTAGTGTTACAGTGACAACGGTGTAGATTTCCTGTCTGGCAAAGCCCCAGATAGCAGTAAAAACTAGACAGGGGTTCCAATCTTTCTCTACTATCCAAAACTAATGATACAAGTTCTTGCTGGACATACACTAAATAACATAAGACTACATGATCAGTAGTCCAATGTGCTTGATTTGCCCTGTGTAGATAGCTCCAGTGATGATTTTATCTCAGCTAGAAAATCCATTGCAGGTAATTGATTCTTCTATTAACTGGTTAGCCTGGGCTGTCTGCACAGTTTTAGACGTGGGAGAAGCCACAGATTTGGTTTGTTGATCCAACTGATTTCCGCCTGGTAGGTGGTGACCTTATGTCTATAAATGGATGTTGTCTAGTCATTTTATGCATGGCTATTCTGCAGTGCTGGTACAATATTTTTACAGGAATTTGTGAAAATTAACATGGAGCTACCATGACACTGTTAAGACATAATACTATATGGGCATTAACAATGAGATCAAATTAAATGTAGTAACATATGATTCTGAAACAGAACATTTTAAACTGCAGTAACTAGATGTATGATCCTACAATATTTATTAGTTGTAAACGAATACTTTTGTGATCTGTAAAATTTAACATGGTGTTAATTAATAACAGAATTGCACTAATGTGCAAAATACTGAGGCTCATATCATCCAAAATGGCAGCTGAATATGCTAATCCATATTCTGTTAAAAAAGCCTATGCTCTCACAACTGCAATTTACACTTTTATTATTGGATATGCTGCATAACTAACACATAAAACAGTTTTCAGCATGCACTTTCAAAAGTTTAAGATGAGCTCCTTGGTATGTGTAATAAACTCTGCATACAATCAATGCATTTTGAACCATATTACTGAATAACAACTGGCAACTGACATATAATTGACCAATACAGACATCATTATTAGTTCCATGAAATACCACAGCTGAGTGAAGATCTGTGGGGTGATTTCAACATATTACCTGCCCATATTTTGCAGCCAAATGAAGAGGAGTCCAGTACTGGTTATCCTGAGCATCTGGATCAGCATTGTGCTCTAATAGCTGGCAAGCAACATCCTTATATCCACCAGCGCAGGCTATGTGAAGCTGTTGAAACATACATGGTTGTTATAAGAAATGTATTTAGTATAGCTGTATAACAAACATTTACATCACTAAAATAATCTCTTTGCAAAAAGCCTTAACAGAATAACACAGATGTTGGTCTACCTCATGCAGCCCCCAGTTGCCCCCACAGAAGTTCCCATTTGTTGAATTCACACCAGATGCATTAGGGCTGCTCTGGCCACTTTTTCCAGCACAGCCCCAATGCTAGACAAGGCAATTTGCCTTCTTACAAATGGGCTCAGTTCACACCACCATGTTGCAGTTGTCTGTGCTGAAAAAAAGTACTGCATGCGGGCCACGACTGCATCACACAACACTGTGCCCATTGAACTTAATTAAATGTCACTCATTAAATTTCAATACAGTTCTAACCAAAAAAATATATAAACAGTGTGATGCACCAGGATCAGCGCATCAGCTCTGTGCCTGGGAACACACACCAGCAGCTGTGTGTTGTATCGCATCTGCTGGTATGAATGCAGCCTAAATGGTGGACTGCAATATGGACATGGACTGAGGGACCATTCTTGTGACTGCTATTCACACCTTGAAGAACATTTTAATTCAGTACCCTTGCTTTACAAGATATATTCTAAGAGCTATGAGAAGCTGGGCCCCATCATGTTATCATACACCAGCAGGGTTTTCTTTATTGGCTTGAAATCCCAATTATCTGATGTAATACACACTTTACCTTATGTGTGTGTCTTCCTAAGCCTTCAGTGTAACTGGTACATTAGACCAATTACTTCAATCTATTTGTGTAAGCACTTAAAACTCACAGTTGAATTCAATATATGGACACTGCTGTTGACAAAGATGACACTACTGTGAAATGCAGACTCTAGTAATTTAACAGATATTACATGTGACAGGCATTTTTATCCCATTGTCATAAATAGAGCTTTTTATTTTATCCACAGTCTGCTTCTACAGGGAAAGAACAGATGCTTATGTGCGGCATTGTAGTTAGTTAAAATACCAATAACAGCTGTCTTGGCTCTCCAATGAAAAGCAGCACTCTAGGTAGAAATATTCTGCACAGAGTGAGTAGTGGATAAAGCAAGCATGACACCAGTTACAGCTTAGCTAACCCCATGCAGGACTCTCCTCTTTCCGACAATTTCATTAGAGTCTAACACTGTGTGGGAGTTAAATGATTACACAAACTACTATTTAATACGTGACAGTGTCTAACAAAAAAAAAGCTGTTTGATGGATATTAAGCTTCAGAAAGAAATCTTTAGCAATGCGGAATTTATAGAAAATCTTACAAGAGTCACGCCATCATCATTTTTCTCATTAACGCTTCCCCCAGCAGCCAGCAGCTGCTTCACATCAGATAACATCACTGCTGCTCTCTGGGTCCTTATCTTTCGCAATGAGGTCAGATCAACACCTACAGAGGAGAACAAGTGCATATGATTCCAGGAGAATTGAGAAATAAATCCAATCAAATCAATAGCCCAGGCTTTAATGAAACTAAACTGAGTCATAAATAAAAGATGACAGTTAGCCTTTATGAAACAACATCAAGCCATTAGAGATTCCCTCATACGCACATTTATCCAACATACGTACATTTATGCACGTAATTAGGTTACCAATGTACATTAGACAACTGTTGCCTAACCATGCCAGTATCAACAACTGGGGATATCTATTTGATTCTACAGCTCTCGGCAAATACATCCACCGATGTACTTTTAGCTTTACTTTTTTTTGGCAAAACCTATTGGAATTTTTGGGTTTGATAACTTATTGTAACACTTAAATAAGAGTGACGCTGGTGGGGTTTTCCATTCTCATAAAATGTTTACTGTATATATCTATTAGTAGGGTGAGATGTCCTTTAGAGGTCTGATCGTTTTTGGACTGTTGTAGGATTCTGAGCATTGCATAACTCTCTAAATTATCAGTGAAAACAGAAGACTTCAGAACGTGAGATCATGCTGAGCTTTTATTACAGATGAAAAAAATCTAAACTGTAGCTAAATGACATTTAGTTTGCAAAAACATTGTGTACCAAACAATAGCCGTTCACCCCCTAAAATACTGATTTTGTAATTTTTTCACGCCTGACTGCATCCCTCCAATCTCAGATTCACAGACCGACTTGCTAAGTGTGACAATGGTAAACCATGCCTGTGCAAGGGGTGTCAGCATAGCTGCTTGTAGTCACCACCAGGAGCTCATGTGACAGGGTGACAGCACAGGAGCACAACTGAAAGACAGCTTTCATCCAATAACATGAAGTCTACAACTGCCAGTGCTTTGCATTAATTACCTTAGAACCCTATATCCCCCTTGTTCCTTAGAGCAGCTGTGTAAATCATCACAAATGATTAAAAAAAGTTATAAATAAACAGCGCTTTCCCACCCTATGTAACATGACGTAAAAGCAAATATCACCAGTTAAACAAAACACTACAACTGACATGATGCAATACAAAAATTCTAAAACATGTCATGTGTGATATCAACAAAATGTGATACTATTGTGATACTATGTGATGTCTATTAATAATTCATATCCATGTGCCTTTCATCTTTCATCCTTGCAGAAATCCACTGCAATCTTTGTGCCAACATCCTTGTACTCCAAGCTCACTCGCCAGATCATTTTGACATCTTATTGTATAAGGAGGTGGGGATGAATATTACAAATGCATACTAGGGCTTTGCTTCTTTAGGTCAGAGATTCCAGCAATGAGTATAGCGAGCAGCACAGTTGTGAAATCACCAAATCTAACTCCAGATCCCCTGAGACTAGCAGTACCTTCGATTTTTCACTGCAGATATACACTGAGTGGCCAGATTATTATGACCCCCCCCATCAGTACCTAGTTGGGCCATGAGATGACTTCGTTGGGCGAGGAATCTGACACTGCACTGTTGCCCTTCTGTTGTCTTGTACCAGTCTTGCCACTCTCCGTTCTGCCCTAACATTGACTAGTCGCTGACGGCCACAATTCGCACGTTCAGACCCAGATTTTCAGCTGACAGTCCAGTCTTTAAACACTTTAACAACAGCTGCTCTTGAACATTTAATGAATTCTGCTGTTTTGCTGATACTCGCTCCATGGCTCCGAGCGCCAACAATCATCCCACGTTCAAAGGCTGTTAAATCACGTTGTTTACCCGTTTCTCTTTAGAAAAAAATCACTTTTACTGTCGTGGTAAAAAACCTGCTTCCCTATTTATAATGGTCTGGCCCTCTAGCAACTTCAGCGCAAAGTTATAGCTAATTATAGCTAATTTGCCTACAAACGTCAGGTGGTCATAATAAACTGGCCACTCAGTGTATACCTATGACTCTCACATACCAGGATCTGCCTTGCCATTTTTCAGAAGGAATTCAAGGCAAAAAGCTAATTTTTCAGGGTACTGCTTAGGCATATCAACACTAGGGGGGTTATTCACAAAGCTGCCGAAGGCAGCCGAGTGAATAACCAAGCCGTAGTGAAGTGAGCCGAGCAACGTTTGGCTATTCACTATGGCTCAGTACGGCTGATTTCAAGCTTGACAGTTGGCATGCCTTAAAATTTACTTTTGGGAGATATTAAATTGGTGGGTAAACTTCCTTTTTAATTGTTAACATAGTGGTAGATGTTGTCTATCTGTACACTTGTTCATCAATACTGTCAAATTGCTATAGCCTGCAAAGAAAATGATTAGAAATGTGACAAAGAATTGCCTTAACTCTCCTTGTAATGGAAAGTGATGTGACCGAT